CGTCCTTGTTGTAGCGTTACTACATCCGTTTTCCTGATATAATAGTCTGTGGCTGGTACCCCTAACAGCACCGCATATAGTCCCGAGTGCGTCTAACTGGAAATTTTATCACAAGTCTTTTAGTTTTGCAGTGCAGCCATCCCATATGACGTACCAATAATCGAAGATAGGCAAGACAAATGAAGAATACATGGTTTGCAATGATTTCCTATTAAGACGATATTTCAAGGTTCTAAGACATCCTTCCAGACAGTTCCATCCTTCCAGTTTTTGTTAAAATCTCATTTATATGCTTATCCCACTGACAGTTTATTTGAAAAGTAAGGCTTTAATGTTTATGAAAATCAACTTCTTTAATTGGCACATTGTCTAATTTTGTAGGTAGAATAGGAGTTGGTTAAGTAATCAATGCTAGTTTTCAGCGGGTTGAAGGATACCAGCCACGTCTTTGACCAATTATTTATTATTTCTAGATCTTCATTTAGGACTATCGCACTTGCTGTTGGGTCTCCAATTTTCAGATATAAACTAGTGTCACCTGCAAATAGTCTGATGTTCGATATTATGTTATTAAGAATATCCTTTATATAAATCAAAAATAATAAACGGCCATCAAGGATGCAGCCCTGTGAAACACCAGTCGGCACATTTCTGGAATCAGAGGAGACTCCACTTACAACAACTCTTTGTTTTCTATCAGTTAGATAATTTGTAAACTATTTTAGTAAATCTCCTCTAATTCCAGCTTCACTGAGCTTACGACAGAGTCGCCATGACAGACTGTTAAAAGCTTATCAGGCCCATAGCAAGACTTAATTGTTCGGGAGGTGGGGGTGGCTCAACTAAGAGCATCGAACTGTTACTTTCACTTTTTCGAATAAAAAAAAAATGATAAATAAATTAACTTTGATACCAATATTCTTAAAAAGTTACTTAACTTGACAAGTCAAAATCCATTTGGAAGTTAGTGTATATTTTGGTTTTTGAACAATCTAGACAAGTAGGGGAAATAATTGAATATTCATATCGCAATTGCTTAGACTGCTGCGGAAACATGTTTTTTGGGTCCATAATATGGGCATCAAAATCGTTTTGGTTTGGTCTTACTTCTAATTTATTGGTATTAACTTTAAGTGTCCTTATTACTTCGTATTGGCCTTATTACCAAACTATTGCTATTTTTTTTAATACCGACGAAATTATTATGTGTACTATGTCTGTCTCGAGCACTAGGAAATTATTCATTTACGACTTGCTTTTTTTTGCTACTCAATAAAGGTGGATACCAACCTCAGGCTAGACCCTACTCTACATTCACAGTATTGTGCGCTCGATGATTTCGTCGTGAGATGTTTATTTATAGTGTGCAGTGATGATATGAGTAATGGGTGGGAAGGTTTTTTTCTGGGGGTAATCAATTTAGCTAGATGGGGGCCTGTTGCTTATGTCGCAGAACATCGTTCTTGTTTATGATCCTTTATCGATGGCTTGACAAAAGAAGATCAATTCACCGTGTAGAAAACCACTTGGCAGGTTAGTTATTATAGTGTGGGCTCTCAGGAAGTTTAAGACATGCTTGTAAATACATTTTTCGAAAAAAAATGATGATGCTAAGTAAGGATACAGTTAACGCATTCAGATGGATCACCTTTATCTAAAGATAAGTTACATAAATTGCATAGTGGAATAGATTTTTCGTTTGATATTGATTTTTAGTAATTTTCCGCTTATTTCGTCTGGTCTAGATTCTTTTCAGGTGTTCATGTTAATGAGCATATTTTCATGTGGTTTTAGTACTACTTCAGTGGTTGAATTTTGACATTGTGAAAGTTCGTAAAGTTGTACATTCATAGTATTTAATTGTGATTGGTTAATGAAAAACTCGTTCAAGCAGTTGGCTTTTTAAAAGGTTGTACAAGCTACGACACCATTGTTGACAGAGGCGGTATTTCATTTTTTGATCGTGATCATTTACATGAGTTGATAAGTTGCCACCAATGTTTGGATCCATAAATTTCTGATCGCTAATTTCATTATCAATTTTCTCATAGTAGCCTATTCCTTTTTACTTTTCCGAATCAGTTTAATATACTTGTTCCTGATTAATCTAAACTTTTCCCAATTTTCATCAGAATTCGATCTGATAGTTTTTTTTTTTTTTGATGAATTTTGATTTTTTCCCTGCTGTACTCTTGCTCTCGTCGCAGTCCTATAATGTTATCGTCAAAGTTTCTATAGTCCCAGATAAGTCTTTTGAAATTTTGGTTCTGATAAATGTAAACGGCAATACACAAGCTTCCAGTAAAATATATCAGTAATCTATATAGCTAAACAATATATATCAGATGAATTAATTTTCAATGAAATATTATTCTATATATTTCTATTGAATCATGTTTAGTATTCCATAAAAGTAAACAATATATATCAGGATGCAAATTTGACCCTTCTACCGCCACCCCCCTTTGGCTCTGCCACTGCTAAAAGGTAGGTACTGTAAGATAAATATTCAAGAAGATAATTTTATGATTTATGATATATAAGCCATCATTTATATTTATAGCCTTGATAAGATAAATGATGAAATATAATGAAAACGGTAACAAAAGAACAGAATACAAAGAACAATGTAATACATATATTATTAAAAACAATAATTACTTGGTGTGAATATTTTTGTCCCAACAATAGAGCTGTATATACATTATGTGCTTCCAAAAGCTACCTCTTCCAACCAGCTACAAGACGATTCTATCCACCTTTACTAGTCCGGGATCTTCCCAGCCACAATCTGTTTGCAACTAAACTGAAGGCCAAAAGAAACTTTCCGCTTTAAAAGTGCAATTTAACCAAAATATATAGCAATTTCGAAACTTATCCATCCAAATAACACTGCCCAAACACAACATTAAAGTTTGTAGAAATTATACCGAGCAATGGTGTGAAAATCACGTGATCCTTGAATACACAATATTGTATGTGCACCGAGGGTAAAAAAACGTGTAGAATCCTGCATGGCATGTCGGGCTCACACAACGATAAAAAAATACACAAGAAGAGCCACGACCAACACAACAACAACGCAAGCAAACTCTAGGAATTTGACGGTTGGGAGCCACCAAAGCTCACATCACAAGAACTTGCTTCTGTGTTACTATAACAAGCTCGATACAGCGTTATAGGCAGACAGTGCAGATGCCAGACAGGTCTAGAAAGGGCAGAACTAGGTGACCACACCACATGATGACCTGTATTTACGTACCTTTCATTTCCGAAATCTCTTTCTGACAGTGACGTCATCACCGAGCTGATGGATTAGGTCGCAGGGCTTGTCGATAGGCGTCTCCGAAGTCAAAGAATCAGGGCCTACAGGTGGTACAGAGGACAGCCATTGACAGCTCAACATCTTCATATGAGATTAGGATGGGCCCATCGTCAACGACCAGACTGCTTGAGGTTCGTCTTCAGTCCTAATTTTTTATCACCAAAGTGGTGAACAGACGGTGGCCTGTTGCGTTCAAGAGGTTGTTATAGCTAATGGTGGTTATCGCTAATGACAACTTAATAGCCCATCGGTAAATCATTTCTCCAACAAGTCACATGGTGTCATTTATCCTCATGAAAATGACAGACCCCATATACGCAGGCATAAACCAACTCCTCTCGACATGTCCCCAATAAAACAACTCTGATGTATCATGGACCGTCGTGTTTGTCAGTGACAAACGCCCTCCAGCCAATTGACAAGAATTCAGGCTGACGCCATAACCGGAAGCTGTATGTTTGCCATTTGTTTTGCTGGTTCAATTCAATCAACTCATTTATATCGCGTTATTTCATATCTAGGTTGTTTTCAAACCTTGGTGAAGTTTCTTTTGACCTTCAGTTTATCTATAAAGCCAACCAATATCTCCAACAGATTCATCTCCGCCAAGATCTGTTCTAATCTATTGCTCCATTAAATAAGCGTTCTGCCTCGAAACGCGATATGTGGAACCAATTGGAAAGGAAAAGTTTACAACTTTTTTGAGCACGGCTATCTATTTTAAATATTAAATGTAGCCCAACACTTCAGTCACAGATAATATCTATGATGAAATATAACCACGTTCTTTGTGAAAAATCGTCAAAAGATAAAAACAAAATTGCGCATTTCCAATTATTTACCATCGACTGATTCGCTGGTAAGAGTATACATTTTCACGACTTAACGACATCACAGAATAGAAAAACTACAATCATCTCATTCAAAATAAAACATTGTTATCGTTGCACATTAAAATGGCCCCAAAATATTGTCACAACCAATGATGTAGTTTTTATATATATATAAAAACAAATTTAGATGAAGTTCTCTTTTTCCTTCGGCTTGGGTTCATTTCTTTTCTGAAATAAAAATTCATATACAATTTATTTCAATCCTTAGCTTACCAAACCATTTGTTCAAATTAAAAATGTATCTATATTAATGTTAAGTAATACGTCATCATGAAAATAAATAATCAAATAGTAAATATAGTTATGATCATTCCCACTGTTGACAAGCAACTTTTATTGACCACAAACATTAGTTTGAGAAAAATTGTTTTTTTTTGTGTAATCTGTTAATATTCAATCTTATTTGATTTTTCTTTTTTTCAATGCACTTTATAACTAGTACAAATCAGCAATATTTCAATTACTAAGTTTCAGATGAAGATAGCACTCACAGAGCCAGTTGCTTTTATCATAAGGTGTGCCAGATATTCTCCCAAGCATACAAAAGCTGCTATACAAACACCACCAACTAATATAAAGAAAACACCAGCTACATTCTCTAGTTGCAATTCGGACGTTTCATCGGCTGAACTTTTCGATAAATCTGGGCAATTTCTGGATCCCCACCACCTTAAAATAAAAAGTTAAATATAAAGACAATATACTATATATTCAAAGCTATATGTTTTAAGTCGTTATCTGGCCTTTTAAATATAATATGTTCCTCTAACCACTAAAATAACTTACTTGTTTTCAAGCTCATGAAGTTTACCAGTATCACTTAATTTTAAAATGGCCATAGACAATTCTTCTCGATATGTAGCACCAGGCGGAACACCTATTCCAAAGCCCTTTGGATCAAATGGTGGACCTATTTCCATGACATCACAATCTGTAATAGTCTTGTATCGGTTGACAGTGGTATCCCAGAAAAATGCATAATCTTGTTCCTTCACTTTGGCATAACCCTCATTAGTACCCTTCACCATTGAATCGGGTTCAATTTCAGACATCTGAGCCCACATTTTGGCAAAATGCTCAATTTTGGTATTTCGAAAGAACGACATGACGCCACTATCAGCAACGGTTCCATATTTAATTTTTGTCTGCTGTGCCAAATCTGTTACGGATTTTATTGGTGTGTTTATCTTTTTCACGGTAAGGAAAGCTGCAAGATTGGCTGTGTATGATGAAATAAGGATAAGAGCAAAGAACCACCAAGCACTTGTTAGAATTCGACCTGGTACAGTAGAAGGAGAGGCATCAGTATTCCCTTGAAGCAGTGAGCCAAAAATAAACCAGAAACTCTCTCTCATTGAAATTTTTGCAGGATGCTTTGCTTTAGCACCAATTCGTTCAAGTCCATATAAGACTACACTGACCATTAAGAAAGCACCAAGTGTACAGATCCAAACAATAGGTGACAGAGGATTCAAAAATTCAAAATAAGAAGTTTCTCGTCTGGGTATACGTAGTAGTACACTGATGTATCTAGTCATGAATGGTTTGGTGAAATCTACTACTTCCTCTCGATCAGAATTGATACTTAACGGTGCCACTGACATTGTCGCATTCTGAAGATAAATTGTACAAACATTATCTATATATAGGCTTATTAAAATTGGATCAATGAATTATAAAATGCATGAATGCCAAATCGTACATATAGTTTGTTCACAATCAAGTAGAAAACGATAATTCTCAGTCAGAAGTAGGGCTGGATAATCGATGTAAGATTCATTTGATAAAACTTCATTATGCGTTTTTCTATTCGATTCCACTCGAAGAAGTCGGGGGATTTTCATTCTAAAGAGTACATCAGATGGTTATCTGAATAATTAATCATTAGGAAGTTATTATGAGCGTAAATGATGTTAGCATCAACAATTATCTTTTATTAATAATTATGACCTTCGTAGAAAATCTACGGAAGCGTATTAGGGCCAATCATTTTTTGTTTTTTTTGAATTTTCAAGTTAGTATGTTGAATTTTCAAGTTATTAACTTCAATTTTCAAGCTAGTATGTTGAATAATACGCTTCCGTAGAAATCTCCCCAGCCTAAAACCTTTACAATATTATCAGTGTTACATACCCCTGCCAACAGTTCTCCAATGATACCATTCCATTCATTACCAATACCTTCCATTTTACTGCCAAACTTCCCATCATGGACAAGGTAAAGTTGGTATCTGAAGTCCAGTCTCCGTGCAACTTCCGCTATAAGATCAACAGCAAAACCTTCAAATCTATCATTACCAGTTCGAAGTTGATAGTCTCTTTTCAACATCGTGAAAGGCCGCTCCTGAACATAAACAAGATTAACTTGGATTATTCTAGTAGAAAATTACTTCTGACTTTCAAACTGAACACATTAGCTCATAATTAGTTAAAGAAGATTTGTTTGAACTCTGGTCTCTAAATTGTGAAGATCAAATCTTTATCATTAGTGTGGGAGAATGCGGCGATTCATTTGGTGTATATTTGATATTCAATGTTATGTTGAAAAAATGTTGACGAATGGTTTTAATAAAACAATCATTTTACCTGCATTGATATTAATCAAAAAGCCGTGAATGACTTGAATATGTTGATATACAATTTTGTTTAAACAATTCTTGTTATTTTGAAGTACGCGCACAATCTTCCTTCAATACTGTTTTGTTTCATGCTAGGTACACATTAACAATAAATTAATCAATGATTGAACATTACATCATAATAACTTTTACAATGTGATCGAATTCCTCGTGGATTTTAAGTCAACATACCATGAAATAATCAAATTCTATTGGATATTTCGCTCTAATATTAAAACATTCTTTTCATACCGAAAAGTTTTTTTGTTTGTCAATGGAAAATAAATAAATAACACGAGCTACCACATTATAGAAGGAAATATATCACCATAAAACAGAGTAATAAAAAATTTCGATGATGTCACCTTACGTGTAGATTTCAAATAAATTTAATCTGATCTTTATTTCCAATCGAGCAATTTGAAGGTAAAATTGATATCAGTGTACTGAGGTGCCTTATACACCCATGTGAAACTGTGGAAGTATATTTCCGTCGCCTCTTTCCGTCGATCCGTCGACATTTCTTGTGATCACAATAGAGACTTATGTCCATCTGATTTAAATGAAATATGGTGTGATCAATTATATTGATAACATCTTGGTCAACACGATTTTGCGATGAGAGCTTTTTGAGTTATAGCCCTAATGCTTCAAAATTTGTTCACGAGACCAATACAGATTTCATGTGATTTTTATGAAATGTGGTGTGATGATTTTAGTGATGAATGAAATGAAATGAATATAGTTTTACGTCTTTTTTTTATATTGATGAGATCTTGGTCAAGTTTGACTTTTCAACGATTTCACAATATTTTGCCCTTGATATTAGAGCTGTGTGATTTAATAATTTGATGTATTTGTGGAATTACTCAGCATAAATAACTGGCAGTCAATTTATATATATAATTGAATTCAAACTAATAAAATTTCTTCAATATGAGAAAATTCATATTTTAGTCACTAAAGACAGCTGCCAGTGGAAGTATGTACCTTGCTCTGCTCTAACAGAGTAATCATGTCCAGGTTATTCATGTCACTCACCAAAATCGTAACAACTTTGACCTCTCTACCTTTTAAAGGAAACGGTATACTTCTATTTGGCGTAAAATAATTCAGCTGTAAACTTGGTTCATCTATTGTAGGACTCGACTTCCAGATGCCTCTCTATAAGACAAAAATCAATCACTTTTGGTAACACTATTTTTTTCGCCCTCAGTTTTTTTTTATAGTTTTCATTTTATTATTTAAAAGGAATACTACGTCTTAGAATGAACATAAAATTTAAAAATATTGAACTAGGCCAATTCATCAGTAGATACACCTGATGTCATAAATAACATAACAGGATCCATATATAATCCGATTAATCAAAAAAAAAAAAACTTATCCAATAATATGTTACAATTTTCCAGATTTTACAGGGATTCTGTTGTAACTTTATGACACCAGGTTAAGTTCACTGATGAATATAATAATACTCATTCTTGAGAACTTCAATTTTATGTTCATTCTAAGACTTAGTATTACTTTAAATAATATTGTGTTTTTGAATACTATGTATTTAAAAAATAGATTGAATTATATGGACTATCATCCTAAAGCTTCAAAGAAGTAAAATAGATTTTAGAGAGAGGACCCTAATAGCATCAATTTGCACCATTCCAATTTCCAATCAGATTTCTGTAGTTCCTGCAATTCCAATAAAACAAAGTGTTTGATTGTGCCATTAATTGCAAAGGGCCTTATGTGATAAAGGATATTTTGCGATTGGTAACGTCATAAAACGCTTAGTTTTATTGGAATTGCAGGAACCAAAGACTGATTGATTATTGGAATGGTGCAGTTGAAACTATCGGTGTCCCTTTAGGAAACATACCGTGTAATGATCGGGTCCAGTGATCACAGTCAAATCTATAGTAAAATTTGATCTTTTTCCTTCCGAATTAATCTGTAAATTACCAGTTGTTCCATTCAAATCATTCTGTAACATGAAAAGTATATTGTTCTAATCCATTGTATTAATTTATTTATCTTTTATTAAATGTATAATCCTTTTAAAACCGGCTTTTTACCCTTTTATCAACAAGATGTGTTTTGAAAATTAGAAGAAAATTAGAATCTAGTAATAATAACATTCAAATAACATCATGTAAACCTTCTTAAGAACATCAAGGTGTACAACCGTGCTGATAATCACTTTATTCTACCTTTTCTATCTTTCTTTTTCAACCACAAGATTCAAGAACACTTACCATTTTGATTGCAGCCATAAATTTGTTTCGGTCACTCTTCTTGGTTAACCTATTGTCAGGCTCTAATGTTCCAGCAGTTTGAGAAAGTAAACTGAAGGCATCAGCGAGTAAAGCGAATGTTAGACGATCGTGTTTTGGTTCCATACTAAAGTTGAATGAATGAAATGGTAAAATGTTGAAGACTGTAAAATTGACAGCTATTTCTTTATATGTGGTTAACAGGTCGCTAAACTGGTCGCCCTGAAATAATCAAACAGTCAATTTTTAAAAAAAACATGGTTCATTAACTGCCATGGAACACTCTTACAATATATATGCGTATATAAATACAGCAATTTAAAGCAATCATAAGCTTATCACAATTCAATAAACCAAAGCCAACGGAACATACACTGCTACATATAATGTATCCAGAAACTCGCATACAATTAATATAAGCCCTTTCTGCGTATAGTTTCACATGTATAATGACTAGCAAATAAATTCATACTTTATTAATATATCATTTTCCTATTTTTCTTTCAAAATACTTAATTTATCGATAAAAATATTTGCATTACATTGTAATAACACCGACCTCTTTTAAATTATCACCAACCAACATACAGGCGCCGGGAAACAAAATCTACATCATTGACAAAAACATGCATATAATAGAACAGAGATATCATATTTATAGAATGATGCACACATAGATACAGACAGATACACTAATATTATGATGCATAAATGTTTACAATGAAGAATGAATCCGTGTTCAAAACGAGACTTCCAAATCACGGGAATGTATTATTAGGTAAGCGTGTATCAAGAGCCCGCATAACAATGTAAGGTTTTAAGTTGAATTATGTAGGAAGAACACATTTAGTGATTTAGGATTCGCATAATGAAGGGGGGACTGAAATTCATTCGAAGACAGGAACTTCTTAATTTTCTAACGTGTCATATTTGGCCATCATCGTTTTTGAAACCAGAGTCAAATCACGGGGAAATCTTACCGGTTCAACAATAATCCATTCATATTGACCAACATTTTGCTTCTTTTCCTAAAACATAATCAAATGAAACAGAAAAGAATGTCGTAATGAAAATATAATGTAAACCAAACCAAAGGAATCACCAAATGTAAGGATTTTTATATTACACACACTAGACAAACATGAAAGGTTAATTAGAAGACATTCAACAGTATGAAACACAACTAAAATACCAAGATAACAGAAATATGATACATAATTGAAATACACAACACAATATGATAAAAGATGACACATCTTACCGGATCATGAAACATCCATTCATATGGTGAGGTGGATAACATAGCTAAATCTCGAGCCTAGAAAAGATAAGTTTACACTTCTTTGTCATCTTTTAAATTTAATTTCATATTATTGTAAAGAGATTTTCTAAAACGTATATGTGTATCGAGACCCAGTTATCATCGATTTGCAGCATTTAAATTTCCAATCAGAAGCTTGTGGTTCTAGTGATTCCACTAAAACTAAGAGTTTTATGACGTCACTATCGCCAAGATCCTAATATCAATATCGGGCTTTGGCGATAAACGCTTTCGCTTAATTGCGAGAACCACATCTGACGTCCTCGATACACATATGGATTTTTGAAAACCTCTATATAATCCCTTTAAGATAGGCGAAAATCATTAAGAACTCATTTATCAATCAACTTCATGTATTCTTCGTCGTTTGTGGTTTTAGACCTGTCGACGTGGAATAAAAGCTTTGCATATGTACTGATTTATGACTTTGGTTTTGAACAAATTTGACATTAACGGAGTATAATTATGTTTCTATTGTTAAATTGTTGTAGGAAAGAATAGAGGGAACACGAACCACTATTATAGTAATTAATGTTAATAGGAAACAAATAATAGATCAAACTGATAATAATTACTTAAATGTTGTTAGAGTTATATATGTACTTGTCAGAGTTATATACAATATATTCTAATGAAAATTTACTAACTATAAAGAGTTAGATCTTCATCAAAAGAAAAAAAAACCCAGTAAATTCCCATAATTTTAGGTTATTCACTTTAGTTGATTCAGATGTGTTATTGTTATTAATTTGATATTGTTGCATAATCTTTAAACTCTGCTATAGCTTTTTTATTCTTTCATCACATTGCATCTCATTACAACTCATTTTTGTACCCTGTGTATATGCTTAACATCAAGTGTAAAACTCTCTTTGAAAAAGCGCTAGACATTACAACGTTTTCTTTGTGTGATCATTTTAAACCATACTTCAACCAGCAAACTGTTGAAAACTCAACCCTACTGAGCTAGTTCTATGGAACTTAGCAATTGTTCAATCTTTCAGATGCAGAATAGTTTACATAACCATATAACTGTCTTCATAATGTTAATTGGGCATTAGGCTATCTTCAGATCATGAAGAAAGAATTCAACTTCCGTAATTTGGTCCCGAATTTGACCAATTCATAATATTTATTTCAG